GATCATTAAAGAGGACTCTTGGCTTCTTCTGTTGTTGCTAATAGTGGTGTGTTCTATAAAAGAAGATAAAAGTTTCGTTAGAGTTGTTGAATTCGTTTTTTTTTTTCTTACTAAAGTTTATCTTAGTATCAGTTTGGTTATTTATTTCCGATTTGGTTCTGTTTAATAACTCTCGGATTTACGAATATTGGAATAAATAATCTTCATTCATTTCATTTTTTTTATGATGTTTTTGTTGAATGCGCAGAGATTAAAATAGTTTAATTATATTACCCTTAATATATAATCCACAAGTAATAGAAGAAGAAACTTGTATAGATATAAATTTGGAAAAATGATTTTATTTCTTCCATCGAATCTACAACACATCAATTAATACCAAAGAAAAAGTTATTAAGATATATATTGAGTAGGCCTAATATTGAGTACAAGATATATATAGTTGACTTATGGGATAAGTGGAGTATATAATTTTGTTCACGTTTTCTCATGTTTCTGTTTTAAGTATTTCTTCTATTTTAATATTATGTTATCCTATCGATATATTCCACCCTATCTATCTGACATAATACGACTAGTTAATCACCTAAAATTTATCGATAATTAGTTTATAGACATTTGACTTTAGGGGTTGTAGTATTATAACTCTAAAGAATAAAATAATAAACATTTTGAAGATAAGATATTGCGATTTACAAGCCACGAAGAGGGGGATTATTAGTAGCTAGATTTGTATATATTATTAGGTTTACGTGTCCTTACCTTTCTTGTGTTATTGATTTTAAAGTCCATGGTCGGTCCATGTTTTTACTTGGATTTGCGTTTCTCGAGGGAATATAATATAGCCTTTGGATCTTGATGTTAGAGATTGTTTCCCTTGGGAGAGCAAAAATGGAACTGGTGGGTATAATCAGAATGTTTCCTTGATTATTAGTTTCAACTTATCCTAGGTCTCCTTCAGTGGTTCAATGGGTTGATCTGTTCGTTTCATCATGAAACTATTCAGGTTTGACATACTAAGGGGGAAGCATGAGAACCTGTGATTGCAGAAAAAAAGAGAATCTTATAGAGAATAGTTTGCATAAACTCTCGAGCATCATTTCAGATCAGTGAAAGTAGAATACCAAAGCTTAAAGCTAGAGAAAACTCAGTATTTACTATCACAAAGTGCAAAAACAGAAAAGAGAGTGAATGATTAGAAACATAAAATGAGTTTTTCTACTCGGCGGCCGCTTCCTCCATGACTTGTTCCGCGGTGGCTGGTGCCACAGGGTAGTAGTGATAGTGCAGCTCCCCAACATCATCTCCTGATAGTTTCTTCCATCCTTTAGGGCCAACGTGGTACACTGATTCATATGACAAGAGACCAATATGTGAGCTAAAATCAGAATCTTGAAAGTTTGATATCACTTTTGGACTACAAATGTATTGGGACTACTAACCGCTAGCAACTCCACCACTGGCTCCATCACGGAATGTGGCATGGTAGATTGATCTCCTTGCTAACTCAGAAGCTTCTTCAACTGTCATATCATATTTGTACCTAATGATAAAAGCAAAATCATAAGCTTGAACTGGTTGCTTAACTAACATCTAACATCGTTAGATTTTGGTTTTTAGCTTTTGGGATTGGGACAAAAGAGATTGGGGCTGATTTACCCGCTGTCAAGTACACCGTAAGCATATGGTGAACCAGAACCAACTGAAAACCTGTCTCCCTTGAGCCGTCCTCCTTCGTTGTCAACATAGTACAGTCCAGGACCCTATTTACAAGAAGGAAGGATTTAACATCTCAAAGTTTCAATTTGAGTGAGAAGAAAAGAACAGTGTTGATGATATGAACTTGGTTTACTCACAGTTTCATCCCATCCAGCAATCATTGTGCCGACAGAAAGTCCCATTCCACGGTATGAATAGAGCATGTTTGCAAGAAGTTTGGAAGCTCCAGAAACGGAGATTCTCCTCTTGTTTGCCAGCTCATGCAGACGGCACTTGGAAAGACAAATAAATCAAGAAATCAGCCATGGTTCCAGCAAATGAAAATTTGGTAATAAGTTGAAGAAAATCCATTTACACAAACAATGCCATAATCCTACACACATGAACCAAGTAGACCCACTCAAATGAAAAGCAATTGTACCACCTTGCATCGACCAATTCTTATCCCTCGGATTTAGCATCACAAAGCTTTTCTGGTTCATCAATCTAAGATCTTTTGTTATTCAATCTCAGTACAAAAAAAGTAACTGAAGCTAATAGCGCTACAGAAATGTTTGGGTCACAGAACAAAGATGCTAAACTAATTGCGCAGCAGAAAATTGCATGCATAGAACCCAAAGAATCCCATGATACTAGGATCACTATAAGACAAGAAAAACCTTTCTCCTTTTTCAATACAGACATAACATAAGCTCCTGATAGCCTATAATATTGAAAGGATGATAAATCACAAATCCAAGCATCCGTTTAGAAAGTAAAAGAAACTCGAGTTAGGTACCTTAATTCCAAGATTTCTGTGCCAGAATTGGCAATCAGCAGCTCCTCCAGCCATTGTACCAAGCATATAAGGATTGATTTCGATAATCTTCTTCACTGATTGTGAGGCTGAATGGGGGAAAACAGTATAAAAACATCAGCAGCAATCACACAAACGATTCTTTTCCTATAGTGGTTCACAATCATTCACCAACAGGAAGGAAACTAGAAATTCGTTTCAAGCTCACTTAATCTCTATTCTAATTGCGCTTCTGCCACTATCAACTATATCGAAAGGATGCATATTATTGATGAATTAGTAGGAGAGTTCACAGCTAAACACTATCAAAGTCTGCACTATAGAGCAAAAACACAAAAAGTAAAGTGATGAAAGAGAACATACAGATATATCCTCCCATGCTAGCCCGAGAATCAGCAGCGACCATGACACCTTCTTTGAAGATAAAAGCAAGTGTGGTTGTTCCTTTTGCAGGCTTCACCATCTGTACAGCTTCTTTCTGAAATCCATCAAACTGAAACCAAAAGAAATCACCAACAAAGCTTATTACTTACGAGAGGAATCCAAAAGAAACCATCAAATCACTGC